TCTATTACTGCCCCATCAGAATGGAGGGTGATCTTTCTTTCCTGTTTCCAACATCAAAATCAGCAACATGTTTGATTTTATAGTGGGCAGGTTGGGAAATTCAACAAATGAGGTAGAATTTCTTTTGAGTCCCAAACATCAGTGAATTCCTGACTGTTCAGTGCAACAATTTTAGCTTGAGATTAATGGTGTTATCCCTTGGGATTCAAGCGTAACTTAACTTTGACTTGGTCCCTAAAAATTAGTTGGCACTGATAGTCCTACAGCGTGGAAACCGACCCTTTGGTCCAACTCATCCCTGATTTTCAGGTGCAAGTGTAGTTTATTTGCAAATAGAAATGGGAGCAAAATGTATTCTGTTGTGATTGTGTGCATTTTTAAATAACAAAATCATAAGCACAATTAATTACAGTTTAGCCTTTATTGTTGTTCGTGGAAATTCAGTGATAGTAATGCCATTGAATGTCAAGGAGCAATAATTAGATCCTTGGCACGAGTAAGATAATGATGTTACTTGCCACTTGTCAGCCCAAGCCTGGGTATTGTCCAAGTCTTGCTGCATTTGGACATGGATTGCTTCAGTACCTTAATTACAAATGATATTGAACTTTGAGCAATCATCAGTGAACATAGGAGCAGGAGTAGGCCATTAATTTTGCTCTGCTATTTTATATAATCAATGGTTGATTGAACACTTCGGTACCCTTCACCTACAGATCGCCATAATCCTTTATATTGATAAACAATAACCATTGATAAACAAATATTTATCAACCTATACCTTAAAGATACTCAAAACCTGAATTTCCATTACCCTCTGAGAAAGAAAATTTCACAGATTCACAACCCTTTGAGTAAATAAATTCTCATTTCAGTCCCCATTTCTGGCTTTATGAAGAAGCAGCTAAAAATGGTTGGTCCTAGGACACTACCCTGACGAACTCCTGCAGAGATGTCTTGGGGCTGAGATTACTGACCATGAAGAACCATGCGCCAACCTTGTGAAAGATGGCCACCCATTGAGTTTTAAACATTGGTGAAATTTCATTTAATGGGCTATGCAAACTTAAAATCTAAAATTTCTGGCAACCTTTGTACATATTCAGAAAATGTTTCATTGTTATCGGTTTTTCTGAAGGCTGAAGAGAAGGCAGAAATAATGCTGGAAGAAAGCAGCTTAGCGTCAGCCCACAAGTCCCTAACCTTAACGCATCACGTTTGTAAGTTGAAGTGGTGTTTCTCCAGCATGAAATAATTGCCACTTCAGGACAGTATTCTCAAATGCTCTTAAGCCTGTGGCAAGTCTGTGAAGTATTGGAAGAAGATTAGAGAATTACTGCAGTTGTTGCATTAGCCATTGGTCGTTAGCTGCAGATATCCTTCGAGCAGCTGACACAACTCCATGTCTGACTCCCTGCAGATCTGCAGCCTGTGAGCTCCATTGGTCATGGTTGCTGCAGATTAGATGTGCCAGGTACAATGCATGGACTCTTAAAATGCTGAGCCAAACTGGCCCCTGTTGGCTTTGATCACCCACCCATGCCATCTGCTACATAAAGCACAGTGTACTATTACACCAGGAATTGTGATGTTACCTAAAATTAATGTCACATTATAACTCATCACTCTTTCGTATATCGAGTTTAATCTATTATGTCTGCTATCACAGCATACAATATTAATTGGTGGCTGTGCATACCGTAAACTCTGACATTGTGAAATAATATGCAGCCTTTGGTGAAGATGAGTATGAAGTGCCATGTAATACCTCTGGTGCAGTCTTAGTAACTTGGTATTCTTCAATTGCAGCCTTGGTGCTACCAGAAAGTTTGTTCATGGGGGAGTTTCCATTGTAGGGCATTGTGATACTAACAGAAATATTCTAGACAAGAATTGGCATAAAGGCTTTTAAAGTCAAAAGTGGCTGTTTAAAACAAAGTGGATATGTTTTTAAAAAGTTGATAAGAGTCTTCAACACCTTTTTGACTAATCGGATTGTCAAGTTTGTTTTGTTGTAATCCTTGATTCCCATGTAGTACAACTTGGTATGTCATTCAATGCCTGCATTAGTGCCAGGAAATCATGAGCAAAATTACATTTATATATTTAATTTAAACATCTGTGAAACTTCCAAAATGCATGTGTTACACAAAACGGTTTGAGATTTAGAGCTTTGCTCCATTTTCAAATGGTTTGTTCAATTTATACCTTTTTCAGTTGAGAAAGTCAAATCAGTGTATGTCAACTTGTCTGAGCAATGCAGTATTATATTGTCAATTATCGGCAAAATGGCATGTGCTAGCTTATTGATTATAAAAGATAAAGTGCATTATGACTTATAAAATACTGTGCTGATTGCATTTTAAAATTGAATCCTTCTAGCTCCAAGTTGAATTTTTCTTTCATTTTATTGGTTTAAATTGGAAATGGACTGAACTATTAAAATGTTTTGGAACTCAACATTACAAAAAAGACCATTTGATGTTTTGGAAGGTTCTCCCATCCCCTAATAATTAGCATTAATAAAATTCTGTTGAAGAAGAGCCAAGGTTGAAGCTTTCTGGAGAAACTGAAAAAAAAAACGAGGAGAAAAAATGCATTGCTTACATTTTCTTGTGGCTTTCTTGTCAAAATACTGACCTCCAGATCAGTATTCAAGTTTGAGTCCTATCCTGTCTTTCTTGTCTGCTGTTGAACTCAGTCTTGTTCAACTTTTGGTTTGATTTTCTTTCACATCAATCAGCAATCATGGCCTGGGTGGCCTTGTTTTTGCTTCAAACCTTAAAAGACGCTTGAGCTGGACATGGGAGTATTCTCTGCATTGCCAGAATTCAAATCCAAGACTACCCCTTGTTGGGAGTCTGAAACTGCAAGTGATGACGAGACCCTGGATTTATGTATCTAGGTGTATAATTGAAGTAAACCTGAAAGAACTCTTGATGCAGGAAATCGGAAACCAAAACACAAATTGCTGGAAAAGCTTGGCAGCATCTGTGGAGAGAAATCAGAGTTATCACTTCGGGTCCAGGTGTGTGTGTGTGTGTGTGTGTTTGTGTGTTTGTGTGTTTGTGTGTGTGTGTGTCTGATTGAAGTGTCCGATTTTTGTGAATGTTATTTCTCTAAAGTGTAAAGGAGGGCATTTTAAATTTGCCCTTCCTGCTAATGGTTGAGAGTAGCTTTGTAGAGAGGTCTGGAAAACAGACTGTGATTCCTCTTTGAAGAAGAATCCACAGACATTGAGGGAAATTTAACATAAAACAACTTTGATATCAAAGCATAAAATGCTTCCCGTTCTCATGTTATGGCAGGATATGTGGAGAGAAACAGTGTTAACATTTTAGGTTTATGCCTTTGCATTGGAACTGGCAAAAATTAGAGATGCAAAAGTTTTGAGCAAAGTTTGGATGGGACAAAGAAAGAACAAAGTTCCGTAATAGGGTGAAAGTCACCAGTGATTGAATGGCTTGAGCTAGTTTTCCAAATCCAAAGGGAATAGTGAGGAAGCAGGAAAAGAAGCAAAACCTGCCTAGAACAGGTGTGCTGCTGACAGCAACAAAAAATAAGGGGGGAAACCAAAACATGCAAAGAAAAGGAAACAAAATTGTCAAGAGATAATTGCAGGAAATGATTGAACTGTTGATTTTAGAAGGCTGTGAAGTACCAAATTGAAAGACGAGGTACCGTTTTTTGAGCTTCTGTTGAACTTCACTGCAACAGGACAGTGGCCAAAGGTGGAAACGACCACCTGAGATCAAGGTGGAGTATCAAATTGTCAGGTCACCAGAAGCTTGGGGTCATGTTTGCATATTCTGAAGGAAGGGGTTTCTCAAGGCAGTCACCCAATCTGTTGTGGGTCTTCCATGCAGAGGAAACAACATTTTGAACAACGAATGCAAGATTGGAACAAGTACACATAAAATCACTGCTTCACCTGGAAGGAATGTCTGGAGCCTTGGATGGTGAGGCAAGAGCTGTTTAAAAAGACAAGTGTACATCTCCTGTGTTTGCTTGAAAATATGCTGTGGGAAGGAGTGATTTAGGAGTGGACCAGGGTGTCATGGATGAATGATTCCTTTGGAATGCTGGAAAAAGAGGAAGGCATACTTGATGTCAATGTGCTGGAGGTAATGGAAAAAACAGAAAATGGTCTGTTGAATATGAATGGTGGTGGGTGCAGAGTGAGGACACTTGAGATCCCTCTCACAGTTCTGGATGAAGGGGAAGGGTTTGAGGGCAAAAGTGTGAGAAATGGCAGATGTGGTCAAGTGTCTAGTCAACTATGAGAGTGGTGGTGGTGGAACTGAATTCTTGGTTGAGGGGAAAAAGACAACATTTCAGAAATGCTGTTGTGAAAGGTTGCATAATCAGGACTGATGCAATGGAGATGGTAGAACAGGGGGAAAGGAATGGAATCCTTGTAGAGTGTAAAGAAGTGTACTGGAGGTAGCTGCGGGAGTCTCTGAGCTTATAATGAAAGTCTCTATTTTCCCAGTTCTGATGAAAGGTCTCGGACCTGAAATGTTAACTGTGTTTCTTTCCACAAATACTGCCATAACCTGCTACAAATTCCTGAGCATTTTCTGTTTTTATTCCAATTTCCAGCATCTGTAGTGTTCTCGTTGTCAAGTGTCGTTTAAGCCTGACCTATCTTGGTTTAGTGTAACTTTAACACAGTCACCTGACATAGTCACAAGGTAGAAGCCAAAGTACAGTAATATTTTATAGGCCAATTTGAGACAAAAAGATCTCTGGATAATTTCTTGTCTGATTGCCAATGATAATTAAGTAAGTTTCTGGAGACCACTGTGACACAAATCTCAATGACCCACTGTTCTTGTTTTGTTGATGTGTTTGCTGCAGATGTTGTGCTGCAAATGGTGTTTTGCTGTTTTCACTCCAGTGGCTAATAGATTTAGAATTATGATTTTTTTTTTTTCATTTTGTGGCATATAATAACAGCAGTAGTTGTTTACAAATTGTAATTTTGTTTTCTGCCTTAGGATACCAAGATTGCCTCACTGGAGAGAAATATTAGGGATTTAGAGGATGAAATTCAAATGTTGAAGACTAATGGAGCTCTGAGTACTGAAGACCGGGAAGAAGAGCTTAAACAGATGGAAGTTTACAAGAGTCATTCAAAGTTCATGAAAAATAAGGTGATTATTATTTTTGGATAGATGTAAGATTTCTAAGTGATCACATGGGCAAGTACCATGTTGAGGCTTCTTGCTTTTGTTGTTTCAATCACAGATGCTGTTAAACTTCCTTCAGCCAGTTAGTAAGGAAAGTAACCAGAAGTCAATCTTTACTTAGTTTTTGACTTATTCATGAAGTGAAACATTTCAAATGCTATTTTCTAACCTGGTTCTAACCTTCTAACACTCCCACCAGTGCAAATAAATGTTTCTTTATACTCTTTCAAAAAACAAATCAACTTGAAAATCAAATTACCTTATTAGCAGAGGTACTGGCCCTTTAAAGGGCCAAAGTTTAAAGCAAACTTAGAATTTAAATTAAGATAATATTTTGGGAGAGATTATACCTACCAGTCATGGAAGGCCTGAAGCTTACCAGTAGAAACAACATGATCCCACTCTCTGCCACCCTTGCATGGACATAACTATGGAAGAGAGATAGGCATTTAGGGGTAGAGTAATGATCTTCTCCGCACTGCCTAGTCTTGTTAATAGCCACATTTATTAGACCCAGGAGCAGAACCATGTGGAGATCCTCCAAAGTACTTGTCCCTGTCTTGTACCGGGTAGCTAAATATGAGGGTGGGTTTGAAGTTCAGGCAAAAATTGTGGAGCATCCTCTGAAAAAGTGAAAGGAGGGCTACAATTCAACACAACTTACAAATGCATGGTGCACAGACTACAAAAAAGCATAGACTGCCTGAGAATCCATTAACTGTCCTATCCTCTTATTGTATGCAGCCTCCTCCATGCCAGATCCCTGACGGTAAAGAGGAGGCTGCCTGTGTAAAATGCCCTTAAGTGTCTCTTTATGTTCTTTTAAAATGAACAAGTGAACAAAATTAAAAGTGAGCAGTGCTGTAAAGGGGCTCTGTAACAAAAATAAAAACTTCTAAAAACAAAATTTTAGATTTCACTTTTGAGTGGAAATGTCTTCCAGCCCCTCTGAGATTCACCTGGTTAGGGAAGGCCTCATATGTGCCAGTGGACACTGCGTGCGCCCTTTCTAAGGATATCTAATGCATATGTAACTAAAAAAGAGAGGCAGGTAGTTAGGGCTAACGACCCCTTCCATGGCCTACTGCTTGGACCTGTTATAGGTTACCTTGGCCAGGCTCCAGAGTAGACCCACAAGGAGGTCTGTCTGTGCTCCTCTGCCCAAGGTGATCAAAGGTTGTGTATGTGAGACTGAAATACAAGCAGACATTGAGCATTAACACCCTCCCCCAAAAAAAAGTCGTGAAAAAGGGACTGCAGTCTCTCACACCTGCATGCATGTGAATGGACTCCTCAAGACTGCAGAAAAAGCAGCTGGTCTGGGACTCCATGAAAACGATCTTAAATGTTTATCGCATAGGACCACTGCATAAAACACCCCCTCCACCAAATTCCCGATGGCAAAAGCAAGGGCCTCTACCTGGAGACTCCTCATAAGAGTTATACAATACAGAAGCGCACCCTTCAGTCCAACTCATTCATGCCGATCAGGTTTCCCAAACCGAACTAGTCCCATTTGCCTGTGTTTGGCCCATGTCCCTCTAAACCTTTCCTATCCATGAATCTCTCCAAATGTCTTTTAAATGTTGTAACTGTACCTGCACCTATCACTTCACCTGGTAGCTCGTTCCATTCATGCACCACCCTCTGTGGAAAAAGTTGTCCCTCAGGTTGCGTTTAAATCTTTCCCCTCTCATCTTAAACCTGTGCCCTCTAGTTCTGGACTCCCCTTGGCTAATCACCTTATCTAGCCCCACATGATTTTATAAACTTCTATAAGGTCACTTATCTGCCTCCTACTTACCAGGTAAAAAAGTCACGGCCTCTTCAGCCTCTATTATACCTCAAACTTCCTTGTAGATTTTTTTTCTGCACTCTTTCTAGTTTAATAACATTCTTCCCATGGCAGGTTGACTAGAATTGTACACAGTATCTCAAATGTGGCCTCACTGATGCCTTGTGCAGCCGCAACATGATGTCCCAACTCCTATACTCAGTGTTCTGACCAATGAGGGCAAGTGTACCAAAAGCCGCCTTTGCCACTCTGTCCACCTGCAATGCCATGTTCAAGGAACTGTGAACCAGCACACATCGGTCCCTCTGTTCAACAACACTCCAAGTGTGTCTTTTGATGATTAAATCAACAATTGAATTTATTAAGAAACCCGGTTGATAGATTTTGTTGTTTAAAACTGACAGAAGATATTTAATTAGTCGTCTTGGTAATCATTTTTATTTTATGTTGTGATCGATAGTGTGACAAGAGCAAAAATAGAAGTTTGCAGCAGAATGAAGACATGCTTCAATTGTGGATGGGTGTACAAATAACTGGAAAAGGATAAAATGATATTTGCCAGGTTTCTTGTGCATTATTATATCAAAATGGCTGTGGCTGGAGCAGGGAGATTTTTCCCAAGAACAATTTTCAAAGAATAAACAAGATTTGTAAGGACATCTCTGCTTATCTGTTAGAATAGTAGGGTTGTAATGGTAGGGCATTTTAAGTTTTGAAATATAGACTGGCACTGCCATAGTGTTAAGGGCTTTGATGGAGATGAATTTAAGTGTGTACACGAAAATTTTCGGATTCAGTACGTGAAGGAGAAGGAGCAAAACTTAACCATCTCTTGAGGAAATAAGGCAGGGCAAGTGACTGAGGTGTCAGTGGGGGAGCACTTTGAGGCCAGTGATCATAATTCTATTAGTTTTAAAATAGTTATGGAAAAGGATATTCCTGATCTTAAAAATTAAAATTCTAAATTGGAGGAAGGCCAATTTTGATAGTATTAGGCAAGAACGTGCAGAATTTGATTGAGGAGTGGTGGCGGCTATTCGCAGGTAAAGGGATGGCTGGAAAGTTGGAGGCCTTCAAAAATGAGATAATGAGAGTCCAGAGATGGTATGTTCCTGTTAGGGTGAATGGCAAGGTTGGTAGGTGTATGGAATGCTGGTTGACTAGAGAAATTGAGGCTCTGGTCAATAAAAAGACAAAAGCAAATGTCAGGTATAGATAGCTAGGATCAAGTGAATCCCTGTGAAGAGTATAAAAGCAGTAGGAATATACTTGAGGGAAATCAGGAGGGCGTAAAGGGGGACATGAGATAACTTTGGCAAATACGGTTAAGGAGGATCCACACAGATTCTATAGAAGATTGTGTGCACAACCCAGACCATCACGGAAGGCAACCTTCCATCCATGGACTCTATTTACATGGCTCGCTGCTGCAGAAAGGCAGCCAACATCATCAAAGGCCCATTGCACCCTGGTAAAGACCTCCTACAACCTCTTCCGTTAGGCAGGAAGTACAGAAGCTTGAACACACGCACAAGCAGGTTCAGGAACAGCTTCTTTCCGGCTGTTATCAGACTGTTGAATGGAGTCTAGCCTCCAGTAATGTAACCTGCAATGTTACCTGTATGCCACTCAGTCTTTTTGCTCTGTACGTCCTTTGCTTGCTGTGATCTGCCTGTACTGCTTGTAAACAAAGCATTTCACTGTATTTTGGTACACATGATCAATAAAATCAATCAATCAGTCAAATGAGAGTAATCAAGGAAAAAATAGGGCTTCTTAAAGATCAGCAAGGCCACCTACGTATGGAACCGCAGGAAAAGGTGATTTACTGAACAAGTATTTCGAATCAGTATTTATTGTGGAGAAGGATCTGGATACGAGAGAACTTTGAGAAATAAATAGTGGTATCTTGAAAAATGTCCATGTTACAGAAGAGGAGGTGCTGGACGTCTTAAAACGCAGGTTGATAAATCCCCGGGACCTGATCAGGTGTACCCGAGAACTTTTTGTGGGACGTTAGGGAAGTGATTGCTGGGCCCCTTGCTGACATATTTGTATTGTCAATAACCACAAGTGAGGTGTCAGAAGACTGGAGGTTATCTAATGTGGTGCCATTATTAAAGTAAGGTGGAAAGGAAAAACCACGGAACTTATAGGCCGGTGAGCCTGTCATCGATGGTGGGCAAGTTGTTGGAGGGAATCCTGAGGGACAGGATTTACATGTATTTGGAAAGGCAAGGACTGATTAGGGATAGTCAGCATGGATTTGTGTGTGGGAAATCTTGTCTGACTAACTTGGCTGAGTTTTTTGAAGAAGTAATGAAGAAGATTGATGAAGGCAGAGTGGTCGATGTCATCTATATGGACTTCAGTAAGGTGTTCAACAAGGTTCCACATGATAGACTGATTAGCAAGGTTAGGTCACATGGGTTCCAGGGAGAACTAGCCATTTGGATATAGAACTGACTTGAAGTTAGCAGACAGAGGGTGGCGGTGGAGGGTTCCTTTTCAGACTGGAGGTCTGTGACCAACGATGTGCAACAAGGATCGGTGCTGATCCACTGTTTTTCGTCATTTTATATAAATTATTTGCATGTGAATATAGGAGGTATGGTTAGTAAGTTTGCAGATGACATGAAAATTGGTGGTTTATTGGACAACAATGAAAGTAACCTCAGAGTACAAGAGGACCCTGACTCGATGGGCAAATGGGTTGAGGAGTGGTAGATGGAGTTTAATTTAGATAAATGTGAGGTGCTGCATTTTGGAAAGGCAAGACTTGTACACTTAATGGTAAGGTCTTGGGAAGTGTTGCCGAACAAAAAGACCTAGGAGTGCAGGTTCATTGTTCCTTTAAACTGGAGTCCCGGTAGACAGGGTGGTGAAGAAGGCATTTGGTGCGTTTTGGTTTTATTGGTCGGTGCATTGAGTTTAGGATTCGGGGGGTCATGTTGCGCTGTATGGGATATTTGCTTAGGCCACTTTTGGAATATTTTGTTCAATTCTTGTCTCCCTGCTATTGGCAGGATGTTGTGAAACTTGAGAGTGTGCAAAAAGATTTACAAGGATGTTGCCTGGGTTAGGGGGGTTTGAGTCATAGGGAGAGGCCGAATAGGCAGGGGCTGTTTTACCTGGTGCACTGAAGGCTGAGGTTCATAAAATTATAAGG